GTGCCAATAACTCCATCATTTTGTTTAAATTAGGTCTACTTACATGCCCATCAAAAACTACTGTGGTTGCTCTAATTTTTCCGAATTAAGTGAGTAAAAGGAGAGATGTGGTAAAGTAGTTGTGGAGCCTTTACCTTCAAAGACCCCATCAGTAACTCCAGGTTTTGTTTTGTTTGCTATTTCTAAAATATACTGGTGTTATTGTGCAGACGCCGTCTATGTCTGGAAAGGGTTCTCTGGGGTCTAGAAACTTTTGATAAAGTGGGGAATCTAACAGCTACACCTTTGCTCACTAACTATAGAGACCAAAGGACTTTGGTTAATAGTCATCTAAATAGACAAAATAATTGATAGATGTGTTTAGTTCATATGCCAAAACTAGCTAAACATCTAAGTCCTTCAGGAATTAACCCTCTCTGTTTAGTTTGCACTCGAAAGTCACTTCTTGTACTTATGCATTTGCGGTACGAGAGCATCTTGACCATGTAACTTCATTTATCTTAGTGACTTCTCTTAGCATTGTGCTTCTCGTGCTCTAAATGATTTTATTTCATTCTAACTGCCTGAAGCCTGCATTACAGTCTCTATAGATCAGTTTCTAATTCCTAACCATCCCAGTCTAGAAACTCTTTTGACTTTACATTTATGAATTGTAAATACTGTTTCTAATAAAATGATAATGAATTGCTTGTTCCCTTCAAATTTGTAAATAATGGCAGTATTTCCCCAGCACAGCCTATTACACTAGGAGGGGAAAGTCATTCCATCAGGAACATTTACCCTTCAGCTTATTTCAATGTCAGAAAACCTCTTAACTTTGATTATTCCTTCAGTTCTGAGTCAGCCAAGACCACTGAGATACTATGCAAATGGCTCAAATGGAAGAAGTGTAATAATAATTCTTAATGAGGCGACAGTCTGGCTCAGAAGAAGCCTGGAAACTCATAGACTGAGCAGTATCATCCTTTCTTTATTAATTTATCCTGTGACCTTGAGTAAATCATTCCATACCTCTGATCCCCCCATTTTGTCTGTGTGTGAGTGCTTTTCCTCATGGTGAGGGGAGTCCAGCAACACAGCAGGGAGAGGAAGATACAACAAAATAATGTTGTTGTTATTGTGTGACGTCAAGTTGCTTCTAACTCATCGCAAACCTATAGAATAGAGCAAAACTGTCCCATAAGGTTTCCAAGGCTGTAATCTTTACAGTAGCAAATCGCCAGGTCTTTTCTCCCATGGAGTCACTGGTGGGTTTGAACTGCCAACCTTTCAGTTAGCCACCAAGCACTTAACCATTGCACCGCCAGGGTTCCTTATAACAATAGTAAATTACAGTTATTGAATACTTACAATGTGCCAGGCACTGTGCATGCATTGTCTCATTTACTCCTCACGATAACCCCGGGAGGTTAGTATTATCCCATTTTATAGATAAGGAGACTGATGCTCAGAGATATTAAGTTCACACAGTTAGTACATAGAGGAAGCAGGATTTAGACCCAGGTGGATTATTGGACTGACACAGTAGCCACAGCAGTGGGCTCACACATACCACAATGATCATGACGATGGCACAGGACCGAGCAACGTTCCTTTCTTTTATACATAAGATCATCGTGAGTTGGAGCTGCCTTGATGGCAGCTAGAAACAACTATCTGACTCCGCAGTGAAATCATCTTATATACTTAATTTGCCTTTATGCTAGTTCCAGTGGCTGAAACGAGATGGTACTATCATCTCATGTTAAAATTGGGGAATTTCAGATCCAGAGAGGAGGCATGACCAGCTCAGTCCCACTGTGTGGATCGGCTATGAAGTCAAGAAGGGATCTAGACTCTGACCCTTTAGAGTTCACAGCAGGATCCTCTGAAAGCTGTATCAGGGGTTTGGGCCTGACACTGGGATGAGGGAGGTGATATTGATAAAGGAATATTCTCTATCCTGATGGTAAGAACTCCCATTGGCCCCTGTGGTCTCCCATCTTTTCTCCATTCTAAATATGTTGAATGTCTATCAGCTGTACTGCCTGGTTCAGGCCCCATCGTCTCCTTCCCAGACACCTGTGGTGGCCTCCTAAGGGTCTCCCTGCCTCCAGTCGCAGATGCCTCTGAGCTTCTTTCCATATAATGAACGGAGTACATTTCCCCCCCTGAGGGCAATAAAAAATAATCAAGAGATTTAAGCAAGGGAATTGCATAATTAGATTTACAGTTGAGAAAAATTAAACTCTAAGGAGTTAGTGCATAATAACCTCACCTCCCTCCTCATCTCACTAGCCACCATTTTCTCACATCCATTCCCTGTCCTCCAGCCAAATAGAAGGCTATATTCACACTGATTCCACCTCCTGGCAAGCCCTGCATTCATCTTGAAGACCAGATAAGCTTCTCTATAAACCTATTCTCACCTCCCTACACACCTGGGAATCTCCCCAATGTGC